GGCCGGCGGACCGAGGACCCTTCCTCTCCCTCCGGCGTCGAAATATCGACGACGCAATTCAACACCGCGTCGTAATTACACCGGCAGAAATAATCTGGCCCGTTTCGCCGTTTCCGTCGATTCTTTTTTGTCCTGTTTCCTTTCGTCTTCATCGGTCGTCCAAGACAGTGGCAAATAAACGCGACGGAAGCGAGCGGCCATTTTTACGGGTTCGCGAGGTTTCGCAGGCGTGGTTTTAACCTCTTCGAGCGTAGCGATATATACGCGTGGATGCATTTGATTGGAGTTTAACCTCTCGGCGTACTATTTACATTAAGGACTCTAATACAACTACTTTTAATTTCTATTCTTCCAATTCTACCTATTATTTACTTTCCCTGCTAAGCTCGTGTATTTTACTATCGACAATTTGGAAATTTGGAAATGAAATGGAAATTTCATTTGAAGATAATACAATGATAATAGCACAATAGTTGTTCGATCCGTGGTTAATGAATAATATTGATTGTGGTGAAATTGGTCTGGAAATCTTCACGAGTCTCACCGGTCATTGTACGGCAAGAGGTTAATATTGAAGTACATCGAACGTGCTTTATTTTCGTATACTTCACGTATAATTATTATAATTGTTTTCGTTCGTCATCGTATTGTTTAATTTATATCAATTCGAATAATATGAACTGCAGGCAAAGAGAAATTGAAACCATCTTTGCCTGTTCTAAAAGGAAATTCGTCCCTGAAGAGCTTAATTAGCGAGGAAACGAGCCTCTTACCTCGCGTCGACGAATATCAGCTTCAAGTCCAACGACGCGCGGAACATGAACATGTTCTGGTAGAGTTTCACTTCCGTTATCGAATGCGTCGGCAGGGATTGGCCCACTGCTACCAGGACGATGTTCCGGATCTGTTTCTCCGGTTCCGGTCCTTCTATGATGCACCTTAGGTAGCCTGAACAGTGTATCACCTGTAACAAGTAGCGGTGATTTCCAGGTGGATCAAGTTTATTGGGAAATGTTGAGTGAAGAGGTTAACAATAGATTTACGGAACCCGTCAATTTGACGGATATCGAGTTCTTTAAACATTAGCAAGAGTTCGAATGGTTTTTGATTCGTGCGATTATACGAATACACGTTGCAATACTCTAGCTTCGAAGTTACAATTTTCGCGATTTATATAGACGAACGTAGTTTTCTAGGAACAATAGAATAAAGTATAGACTAACGTTCCGTAAATCCAGTGTTAAACTGATGCGTGAACTAGACGATGGAATAAAGACAATAGCGATCGATTAGTATCGTTTCCTTCGGATCCAACTTCCATTTCACAGAATAAACGCTGGCACGAAGTTGGCATTACATATTTAGGGGATGGAGGATGATTCTCCTGTCATCGAGATTGAACACTAGCCATCACTGACGAGTGAATAATTAATTAACGAAGACGTGGCAGTTAAAATGCGGTTTCCGGGGACGACAGGAGGGAGGGGCGCGCAGATGCAAACGAATCGTCGGGATTGAAGGGCGAGGGACACTTGACACGGCGACTTATCGTTAGTTACACGTATGCACGCGATTATTCTGAACGTTATCCGGGAATCCTGATAGAGCATAAGTGCGACACTCGAGGGGGGTTACGCGGGGCGGCGGCTGAAGTGCGGATTTTCGCGTGGAGCGATCCCGACTACCGGGGGCAAATTAACAATTCCTGCTTAATTAAATGGCCGATGAAACGAAAAAAAGCCTCGTTCAGCGGCGCTCTCTCGCGTTGCGTCTCGAGTGGCGCCGGCGAAATTTGTGAAGCAAATAGGCTTATTCGTATGCCCGCGTTGCATGTCCCTCTCCTACCGTATGCAATTCCCGTGCAACGTGCGAGTACGGGAACACGAGGGTGCCTGCGAAACTCGTGGAAAGGAAAATAATTTGAGGCAAGGGCGCGCGGCCCACGCTCGATTTCACTCTGGAAACGGGCTCAAGAGAGCCGCCTCGCCCCCGCGGCGGGTCACCGAGCAGGCTTCATCCGTGAACTATTTCGCTTTTTCGCGAAAGCGAACGGCGTACGCCTCCTTCACGGAATTTTCAACATTCTGCAGGTGTTGTACCGTCGATACTACCCTCCCGACAGGTTCGTTTCTCGTGTTTCTCATTCGGAGCCATCGAAATCACTTCGTCAATCATTTCCTAATTAGAAGAGAGAGCTTCTATTATCGAAAGCATTGTGTTTAACAAATCAATTTATTCCGTGTTAGCCTTGAAAATGGAAATTTATTCAATGAACTAACAAATAAATCACCTCCATATACGATACTCTCACTGAGGAATCATCTTTCGTCTAATACATTAAGGACCTACATTGCAACCTACTTTTAACTTCTATTCTTCCAATTCTTTGATCTAACATTAGACTGTTCTACATTGCAAACTACTTTGAATTTCTATTCTTCCAATTCCTTCGTCTAACACATAAGCGCTCCTCTACAAACTAATTTCTATTCCAATTCAACGCAAAAAGGAATATTCCTAACTTCCACTACCTCAAGCATCCGAAATCCCTGGAATTCCGTGAATCCAGAAGTTCCTCCTCCACTCTCTCCGAAGACGCAGAGCCAATCGCCGAGATGGTCCAATATGTCGCGTCCGCTATGTCCGAATCCACGTGGAAATCCACGAAACGCGTGCTAGCACTTGGACAGGAGGATAAGCCAACTACGACTCGGTCTTTGTGCGTCTAAGTGCCATACAAAAAGCCGTCCCGGTCCCCCGTGCCTCGCCCCCTCCCCCGGGGGCTCGCCTAACAGCTTACAGGGGTTGCATTCATGACTTCGTTGAACGCCATCGTAGCGCTGCGGGCTTGAACGAGCTATTTGCCAAACATTTTCCTTCTCGAGGGCCGTCTCTCCTTTTGCTTGGCAAGTGCGAAGTGTCGGCAGGTCCCTTTCTATTCCCGCCTAAACCCGCCGATACAGTTTCCCACCCCTTTGCGGCGTTAAGCAGCAACGATCGGGGTCGCGTCGTTATTGCTCGGGCATATGTCGAACATTTGGCGGGGCGAGTTTCCCGATTTCGGCGGTCCGTCGATGTTAATGACCGTAAATCGAGATTAGCGGCGGTCCACGGGATACCGAGAGCCGGTCGTTCGATCGGTTTAAGCGGATCGGCGAGGGTAATTGGTCCTCGTGGACCGTGATTGATCCGTGTGCGTGCCGGGGTTTGCGGAATTGGGGAAAAAAACTTGGGTCATTTGTGTACGAAAATTAATCATGGATTAGTCTGCGGTAATGATGTTGGCACAGGTGGAATCGGGCTTATGCTTGTGCGGGTTTTGTCAGATCTAATGGAATCTGTTCGAGGATTTAGAACTAATCAGATTAAACTGACGAATCGAACAGTTGAAGTATAATTGTGGAGTTCTCGGAAGGTTTACTTAATAATGAAGGTAATGAGGATGTTTTAATTCTTTGCTCGAATGTCGATATTCTGTCGAGATGAAATTTTTGTGTTTGGAAGAATAAGTCGCGAGCGAATGATTAAATAGATAAACAACAGTTAACGTAGCTTCCTTTTTACTATTAGTTAAGCAATCGAGATGAATTGTTTGTATTTAGAAGACTAAGTCGCGAACGAATGATTAATTAGATAAACAAGAGAAAACATAGTTGCCTTTTTGCTATCAATTAAGCAATCGAGATTAAATGTTTGTATTTGGAAGACTAAGTCGCGATCGAATAATTTAATTAATTTAACAACAAGAGGTCAGTACGTAGGTTCCTTTCTGTTATTAATTAAGATATATAATTTAGCTTGATCTACGAGAGGTTTCGTACATTTCAAAGGATCTTCGAAAAGGGTTGAACACGAATAGACAAATGAAATAAAATCGGATACAAAGATTTCAAATATTTCTACGCACGAAATATTTCGCGGCTGGCTAAAAGTAAATTTCGACGTTTCCGGATATGAAACACATCTGCAGCCGGCGTTTTATAGCACAGAACGGATGCAACCGAGCGAGTTTGTGCGCCGCTCATCTACCTGGTAGCCGTTTTCTTTCCGACTCGCGCGTGACCAGGACAATGCCGTCCCTACTTAGCTCACCACTCCTTATCTTTTATTTAGCATTTGAATTTTTATTCGTTTTATGATTTCCTGTGCAAGCAGTCTAAGCCTTATGCTAATCACCGATCGGCTCCTCTTCCGGCCCTTATAGACTGGCTTTAACCGGCTTGTTTGCTGCGGATATTGCGCAATTCGCGGGAACCAATAAACCCATAATCGGCCCCGTATTTTCGCCAACGGGGAACGAGGACGATTCCTATCTAACAGTCGCCTCTAATTTATTCCCTCGCAAACGCAAATTAATCGCAATACACTTACACCTGGTAGATCGACAGTAACTAATCGAAATCTGTTTCATTAGAATTCCAGTTGCAAAAGAAACTTAGCCATCGAATGAACGAAAACGAAACGATAACTCGATGTTTATGTTTCGCGTGAAAATTCTAATACTATTATTAATCTTAATACTTCAATGTTCCTTTGCAATATGGAACTACGTTGGAAACAACCAGATTACTCGAGAGGCGACTTCAATATAAAAATAAGAAAAATTCAATATAAAATATTTGTTAAAACAATTCTCCTATAATGTCTGCAAGATGTTTATGCACGTTGCAAATAATGGCAATATTTCGTGAGGAAATAATGAATGTTTGCAATGAAAAATATTGTCAAAGGGTTGACGCGTTCGCGACCAGTGTCACACATTTGTATCTCAAAACGTTGAAAAGTGAAATTACCTTCGCGTGTTCGCACCGAAAATTACATACACGGTGTGCAAGTTTACAGGTTCCATCTTCGAATTTAATTTACATTTTATAAAGACAATTGTCTATTCAATAAAACTCAATAGAATCGAACGTACACTAAAATTTCTCAGTTTTAAAGGATCCAGCACGGACAACGATTAATTAGTAATCGCGGAGGTCGTTACCGGAAGAAACGCCGGTGGCGAACGTGTCGAGATTAAAACGCGTGCTTCACGTTACCTTGTATCCTTCCGTGACCAATCCCGCGTTCCTCTTCGCCAGGATGCACTTCATCCTCAGGGTAAAGGCACACTCCAGTTCGATTTCGCCTCGCGAGTTCGACGGCGGGAAGGCGAAGCCCGTGGGCCCTTGGGGTAGAGACAGAACCGACGACATCTCCTTGTGGTCATCGGGGTATATGTACTCGAAAATGCTGTTGCCCGTTAACTCCACCTGCACGCACCAACATTTTCCGTCAGCAGATTCAAGGCGAACGAGAAATCTCGTTCCTCTATTTGGCTCTACTGTTACTTTCATCGTATTCCGTCCCCAACGACTCGATAACGATCGATAGAAGAAATGGTGACTCGAATGCGAAACTCTTCCCGGCGAGAGGTTTCTAAGCTTACAGTTATTTAATATTAAGATAACTGACTACCAGGCCATTTTCAGACGAAACGAAGTCGATCTTAGAGATTGGTCAACGACAAACATACGGTTCCCGCTCTGGGAGTGCGCCCTGCCGTTTCGAGCGCGGGGCAATTCAACGAATCGATAGGGTTGTTCGTCTGAGAAGGTCTCGATCGGTGCGCTTACGTGAAATTACTGATTACTTATTAAATGAATGAAGAGATATCTCCGACCTGCGCCAGTCCCAAGTGCGTGCTGGCCGTTTCGCTTATGTACATTATTTTGCCGTTGGGCGCCACGACGAATATGAAACCGTCCAGGGTCTGCAACGAGAAACAGGCTAATGGAAACCAAATCCGACTCAATGCATGAAATCAGATTTTTTTCAAATAGGTGTGGTAGATGTGTTGGGAGAATCGTGGACGGGCAAGGGTTGCTGTTGACCTTGTCCAGGAGCGAACACATCGTTCGCTGCGATGATTTGTGGGACACGACACGGAGAACGATGAGTACTTACTTGCAATATATTGGTGCCCAGTTCCTTCATGTTGGATTCTATGGGGTTGGCGGGCGGCGGGGCGGCGCCCCATTCGTCTCCGAGACCTGAAACATTATTTTACGACGGTGAGACATTTTTTGAACGGACCAATCTCTCGAAGTGCAACCGTCGGGGCTGAACGCGATTTTTTGTTGGTGAAGGTGCGCTTTGTGAATGGCACTTTTTCAATTTTATGAATTTTTGTATTTTAGTTGTTATGGTGTTAATAATGTATTGAAATGAATAATGTGCTATTGATACTGTGTTGAAAGTGGTAATATGGTATTGATGGTATATTAAAAGTAATAATATAATATCGATATCACGTTAAAATGAATTATATATTGTTGATATTATATTAAAAGTGATAATAAAATATAGATGCTATATTCAAAGTAATAATATACTATTGATACTATATTAAAAGTGGCAATATGATATTGACACTATATTCAAAGTAATAATATAATATCAATACCATAGTAAAATGAATAACATACTATTGACATTACATTAAAAGTGATAATATGATATTGACACTATATTCAAAGTAATAATATAATATCAATACCACATTAAAATGAATAATATACTATTGACGCTATATTAAAAGTGATAATATGATATTGACACTATATTCAAAGTAATAATATAATATCAATACCATATTAACACTAGGTTTACGGAACGCGTCAAATTGACGCATATTGGATGTTAGAAATATTATTTTGTAAATGTTTACGCCGATTTTGACTGACGCGGTCACACTGACATGTACCCCAATTACCTACTATCAAATCTCCAGTTTCCACAATCTAAATAAACGAGCATCTTTTAGGAATAATAGAACGAAGTGTACAATAAATACCCGTAAACCTAGTGTTAAAACAAGTAATACACCATTAACACTATATTGAAACAAACAACATAATATTGACACTTTTGCAGTTAAGAAAAATTCCAGTTTTCGCAGGATCAAGCGTTGAAAGAGAGTCGTCTGGTCTGAGCGTACGGCACACATTGTAACACGCGTCGCCTCCTTATCCCGATGATCCAATATACATGTTTCTAACGGCGTTTCATACTCGATGTGTAACTAAGCCTATAGCCAAGTATTCCGTGGCCGCGCATTAATTACAATACATCTACACCGGGTGCAGCTGCAGGGGCCGCGTTTTCTGCAGCCGCGCAGAATTTCCCGGAAAATGGCTTGATCACTGGCAGACCTCGTCAGTGTACACCGATTCGATCAATTTTAACCAGATGTTATCGCTTATCGCCGCTCACGCTACTAATAGATTCGATGAAATCGTTATTGCGCGATAATCGTTCGATAAGTACGGCGAAGGAGGATAGCTCGGCCGTGGAATTGCATCGGGAACCATCGAATACGTTTGATCGATCGTCGCTACAGAGTAGCTTCGAAACCCTTGCACTCGGATGTTTCTTATTAGAAATATTTTCACATTTTTGGACAAGGCAAACATAATATTCTTTGAAACTAAGTCGAAGGAAAATCACGAGTACATCGAGGAACAAAGATATTTTACTCCAATATTTCACGTGTCGAGGCATTATACACAGTCCAACAGTAAATATCAAATTTGAAAATCAACTTTTCCAATATTATTCAACCCTTATACACTGTTGCAACTTCCATATAATTCAATCATCAAAATTGTAATTCAACGATCTTCCTAACATTTTCACTAGCGTTAATTCCCGATGCACTTCGCAAAACAGATGACCCTAATCATTAGAATATTACACAAATAGTTATAAAGAAGCTAAATAATTTTGAAGCTTCATCGAAACAGAAATATACATCCCTTACGAGCAATTCCGACCAGATTGATCAAATCCACGATGTCGCGACGTTAATTCGATCATCTGTATATACAGGGATCATCCAATTCAAAGTTATTTCGCAAAACAGAGGACCCTAATCATTAGAATATTACACAAATAGTGATAAAGAAGCTAAATAATTTTGAAGCTTCATCGAAACAGAAATATACATCCCTTACGAGCAATTCCGACGAGATTCATCAAATCCACGATGTCGCGACGTTAATTCGATCATCTGTATATACAGGGATCATCCAATTCAAAGTTTTACACCCGTTTACCTGTTCCCCGGCTAATTTCCGAGCCGAGAGGAAAAATCGCCGCTGAAAAGGTTGCAGGGAGGGTGTCGCGTCTTTTTTCGTTCGGTCGTGTTTTTTTTTTCGCGGTGAAAAAAAGAGAAGAATAAAGACGCGGCCGTATTCTAGAGGGATGCAGCCACTTGAAATTCAATTCACCGATGTCGTAAGAAGGGAGGCGAGACGGGAGAAGCTATTGTAACACTATAACAGCCCCCATGCTTTGCTTACAAAGCACCAGGGACTAACAATGCATTAAGTGCGCAATCACATCCATCTCATCCGATACTATTTGCCCTTTGCGCGTAAGTGTCCGGTGCCTGAATTAACAAAGAATAGCGTTTCATCCGTTTACCGCTAAGTGAAGTTTATTGCCGGCACGTGGTTCCGTCACACGCGGCCATTCGCTTGGAAAATCAATTGGTTTGTTTCATATTATTCTTTTCGACTTTTCTACGCGGAATGTCTGTCCGATATTCTAACCAAAACTCCTTTTCAATCAATTTTCCTACAAAAAGGGGTAGTTCTCCACGATCTCTGATCACTAGGACTGCTTAATGTATTAATCGTTTCCGTTTCAATACATCAAGTTTAATCACGATCCACTGACATGTGATCTCGGGGATAACTACGTAAAAATGGTATTAACCCTTCGCACTCGGAAGTTCTTCACTAGGAACGTACAACATTTCTTAATGAGATACAAACGTTCTTTGAAGCTAATAACCGTGGAAAGTTGTGCGCGTTAGGAAACAAGGCTAATTTATTTCAATATTCATATGCATTATACAAAGCAGAGTATTATATATAAGACTATAATTTTCTATATGAAATCACGAAGGGTGTGCATTCGTTTCAAAGTGGAAATATTCTTAAGGAGTGTTAGCTCCCAATTCACGTGAATAATGTATATATTGGTTAAACTCAACGAAAAATTCGAATGTCGCGATGAATATTTCTCAGTTTTAACCCCTTGGCCTATGATTTCTTTCTCAACTCTGATCGGTACAGCTACTTTGTGATTAATAATTTATCGGAAAAAGAGAAAAATTCTAAGCTTATGGTGATTTAACAAATACATATATTACTCGATTCATTCGAATTGAAAGTAAATATTATTGCTCTGTGATCAACTATTATAGTTCAAAGGAAATATAGGAATAACATAAGCTTAGAATTATTCTCTTTTGAAAAAGACAAGGGGTTAACCCATTGGCCTATGATTTCTCAACTCTGATCGGTACAGCTACTTTGTCATTGATAATTTATTAGAAAAAGAGAAAAATTCCAAGCACATGTCACGCCCATATTTCCTTTTAACTATAACAATTGATTACAGAGGAATAATGTTCACTTTGAACTCGAATGAACTGAGCAATATATATATATTCGTTGAATTGTGTTGAAAATCTTCATCACTCACTCGTCGTCGTAGGACAAAGGGTTAAAGGATCCACCGCGGGATTAACGGGAAAACGATTAATTAGTTACCGTATGGGAACGCCTCCCGCATTTTCAGGTAGCTGGTCGTCAGCCGAATGATGCTGGCCTTGTCCAGCTGTGTCGTGATGGGCTGCGGTAGCGGTAACATCATCGCGAGCTGCAAAAATTCGTAATTCTCCCTCTCGCGCCGCCAGCGCGCCGCGTTCTTGCTTTTCTCCTTCGTCACGCCTTCCTGTGGACTGGATGCGCCGAGGTGCATGTCTGATGATAGGCCGTTGCCTGCGAACAAACCATGGAGAACGTTCAGAGCCTGTCCGCCGATGCACGGGGTTCGAAACTCCATCGACTCGTGACCTTTAATTTAACGAGGCGAAAGAAGGAGAGGAGGAAGATCAGAAGTGTCCTACAGAAAAAGGACAGTGACACAAGAACTCACTAATTGCGCCTTCAACGCCTACCGGTCGGGAATCTGTGAAAGTAGGACAGGGTTCTGGCGCGTTAACACCCGCACCGCTCGTGGTTTTTCCTTTCTTGCCGTATCAGTTTGCTATTAACCCTTTGCACTCGAGCGGTGACCCTCAGTCACCATTTGATTGAATATAACGAAATTACGAACTGTTAAATATAATATTACGTTTTCTATAATGCATCGATATATGAAATATTTATATAAAATAGCTTTATTTCTTAATTCACGTGTTTTCTCGTTAGTTCGATTCAAATATCGTCTATGTCTCATCGGAAAATGAATGTTTCTAGTGAAAAGCTTCCGAGTGCAAAGGGTTAATGTATCGCAAGATTACGTAAAATATAATAAAACCCGACGTTAATTGGTTCTGTTTGTTAATATTACCTATGCGAAGATAGGGGTTGAATGTCAATCGAGAATTCTTCTCAGAATGATTTAAAGGACACGATAGCAATGGCATAAAATGATATATTCTAATCCTTCATCTTACTCGATTCAAGAAAACCAGTTAACTTAACACAACTACCGATCGCTTAAACTGATCTTTACAGACTCCTTTCTAATAACCATGTGCATATTAAGATTTCGATTGACTCGTATCTTCGCTCTATTACCAAATTAGTTCCGTTGATCATTTCTCTCGGAAATATTTGTCTTTTCAGTAACTGAAGAAATCAGGGATAAGTCATTTCGACTGATATGGTAGTTCTCGCGTGAAGCTGACGCGTTGCTCGCAGACAAGGGGTCGGACGCGCCAGGAACGAAGAAAAAGAGCGATTCACGCGATTGTCCCGGTATAAATTGAACGGGCAGCGTTGCTAATATTACCATCGATCGCCGCGTCGTCCATGATACAACGCGGAGGCCGTAACGATGTCGAAGCCCGTCGTTATAAGAACCGAAAGCAAAGGGAGCAAACCGTCATTAAAACGCCGGCAAGAGAGCAACCTAACGACGTAGCTACCCATCTGCCGAGTCTTCTCACGGATGGAAATTCGCTTGAATAATGCATTTTTTTTTCCTGCTCCGTCGTTTCAGCCGACGATTCTGCGACTGGCTCGCGGAATCTAGCGACGAAGAGGAAAAGCGTAAGCGCCCGATTCAAAAGAGGAGGAAAAAAAACGTTGCTCCACGGAAACCGAGAAGATAATAAGAACCTGTCGATTGTTTCATCGAATGTTTCGTCGATGTTATTCGAATTAATTCGACGATCGACGCGACGGGAAGTTCCGAGCCTTTTACGCTTCGTCTCGAAGTTACGCGGTAAAAATGGCAACCGAAGAAGGAGAACCATACAGGCCTCGCGGTGCATTGTCGAGGTACTCGGAACTTCCTCGCAGACGTTGATACGCATGACATCGAACGAATAGCTCGGTTACACCTAGTCCCTACATTCCGGGAATGAACGTTTAAAAACCGTTTGTTCCCCGACGACGGACAAAGAACGCACCGCGGGGCTTTCTGCAGTTTCGCGACCGCGGAACGAATAGGTCCGAGAAAATCTGCATGCACAATAGCTCCTCCGGAAACAGTATTTCCCAGTGTCCACGGGTTTTCGAGCTAATCTACGAGACTCTTATCAGCGAATCCTAGGAAACTCTGTGTACATTCTAGAGTAATGCCGAGCGAGATGGTTAGATCTTATTTAGACTACCAAATATATATTTTCAGTCGTTTGTAGTGATGTTATGGTACTATTTACTAATTTAATTGCTCTTGTATATATTCAATACGATAAGTACATTTCTTTCAAGTATCAATGATCTGCAACAGTTCTTTAAGAAACCAAGTCATCCCTCCAATCGAACTTCCACAAATATATTTCTAAGTATCAACATCTACGATGCAATAATTCCTTAAAAAACCAAATCATCCCTCCGATCGAACTTTCATAAATATATTTCTATCAATGACATCTACGGTGCAGCAGTTCGTTAAAACAATCGACCGCGCCGAACGAAACGCGGAAGCATCATCGAACGAGCAGCCTCGCTTCCAATTCGGAAAACGAAATGTCAATACCTTTCTGAGCCTGTTTGCGTCTCCAGCTACCGATATAAGGGTCGCTTCCTAAGATAACGCTACGACCGTGATTCTCGACCATGGGCGCCATCTTTGAACAGTCGCGCTCGTATTCGATCCAGCGGACGCGAGATTACCATAGAAGAACCGGTCGACGACACTCGGAGGCACTGTCGGGACACCGTCGCCTCCTCACAACATTTCCACGTGTCCCGGGGATCACCGTCGAAAAGTCTTCCGCGAACTTCTCGGCGACACTTCTCAAATCACGCGCGCATACGTCATGTCCCGTTCCAGCCACACCACGGTGCGACGACCGGCGATCCGCGGCGAGAGAGCCGGACGAACGGAAAAAATCGTGTAATCTCCGAATTTCGATTCCCGTCACGACCTTGAGAATCGGCCGAGCAGAACCTTGACGCGGAAGCACGTACAGCCGACGGTCCGGTGTCCGTCGCACTTAAATTACGACTAGTGCAGGGTCGTTCGGCGTTCCGAGACCTCGTGTCGGGTTTTGGTCCTTGTTCCCGGTCGGCGTGTCCTCTCTCCTCCTACCAGCCGGTTCCTTCGCTTCCCGTCTCATCCACGATGCTGTTTCCCCGACGGGGTAGGTAAGCCGTGAGGTACCACCCTTATTTTAAGCTCCACCCTTGGAGCTGGATCAGTTGAAAGACCCCTCTGCACACGCACGTGCAAACCTTCCCTCGTCTGTGTTCGTCGACGCGACGCGACGCGACGCGACGCTGTTGGAGGACATGGGAAGAGGAACAGAGAGAGAGAGAGAGAGAATGGGGGTGGATATAGGTAGCAGACGGGGCTACGGAGAACGAGAAAGAAGTTTAAGGACGAACGAGACGGAGCATGACGGTCGTACTCGGTTATAGCTGGCCGGGGAAAGCCCAAGTGATTCGAATGACGGTCGTGCCGGACGGTCGTGTACACAGTGGCAGCCCGGCGGGTGGCAAAATCGAAAGCAAAGGCGATTGCTGGTGGCTCTACTGTTCCGTTGACGAGCCACCATAGGATTATATTATCGGGCTTCCCTCTTCCACAGTGTTCCTCTCTGTCTCCGTGCCAGGCTCGCGGTGCTAGTTCACCGCCGCACGGCCAATGGCACCGGCCCTCGGAGCCTGGGAATTTTCGAACTCCTCGGAACTCTCGAACCCTCGAAACTTCGCCCCCGCCGGCTGCCAGCGGGACGCGGCCTGGTAATTGCCGAAAGGGTTGCTCTCATTACGTAACACGATTTATTGCCCGACGATTGTTCTCGCGAGACTTTCTCGGAGACTTCCACTTTTTCCGCGTTTGTTAGCTGGAACTTGCCGGGAATCAGTTTTATCGGGAAAGGGACGCGAAGTTGACCGTGTTGAGGTTTTGCAGTTGTTGTCACCGGTAGGCGGTTGATATTGATTTGTCGAATTAGTTCCTCGGACGATGAACGGATCCGCCGGTTGAAACGACAGTTCGATGGTTTTGGAATCCACATTATTCAAATATTTAGAACACCGAGTGTCTGGGTAGGTGGCCAAATGCGTCAAATAGGCGCGATTTGAAGCATTTTATTTGCATACTGCGACGAATCGATGACGCGTTTGTCGAAGCGTGTTTCGGTAGATTTTGTAGCGGTCGCGGATATTGTCGGCTATTTGAACCGTGCCTGGGGGAATTGTTGCAGCGTGCGTACGCGAATGTTTGAAATTAGAGGATCAGCAGGGAAGCGAATCATTATTCTATCGCGGTTGGCGTGGACTAATTCAGAGAGGAGCAATTATGTTTTAACTCCTTCGGGTTAGGTGGATTAAAAACTGTCCCGTTCTTTGATTAGCTGTTTATATGTGCTGATGGTAAGATGCATCTTAACCCTTTGCGGACGAATGTCGGCATTTTGCTGAGATCAAACTTCCATGTTTGGAATACCAAGTTGTGAACAAATGATTTTACTATTCGTACAGCGAGAAATCAGTACACGGTTTCCTTATTTATGATTTAAGCATTCAACGTTTAATTTAGCAGAATCTGCGAAAGGTTTTGTGTACTAAAAACAATCTTCGTCCGCAAAGGGTTAACACACTTGAAAAAGTTGAAGTTACTGATAGTCGTACAGTTTAACCTTTTGCACTACAAAGGGACCTCTCAATCGTCAAATGATTTGTCATAGCAAAACTGTAAAGTTTGATATTTAATATTTAATATTTATTCTACAATGCATGTGCGATTTCTCAACTCAATCTCAGAAAATGTCATCTGCATCTCATTAGAACTGAGTGTTTCCAGTGAAATACTTCTGGAGTTCAACGGGTTTCTTTGAAATTTCTCCAGTTGGCAAAACGCATTAAGTTGTTCAGACTGTTGTAATTAACCCTTCGCACTCGGAATTTTCTCACTAGAAACATTTAACATGTTCTGACGAGGCCTATTCTTCGAAACTAACTCGAAGGGAAATCACAAGCACATCGAGGAACAAAGCTGCTTTCTTCCAATATTCCACATATCGAGACATTGTACAAAGTTCAGCATTAAATATCAGATTGTACAGTTTTACGTGAAATAGTGACCGAGAGTCACCTCCCGAGAGCAAAGGGTTAATGTTGCGAAACTGTAGCGCAATAGATTCTATTTCAGCTTTCCTTAAAACCGTGCGTCTCAAAGAGTTAAGCAAAACACAAGCAGAAAGATATCCCTCCAAGTGAAATCCAGGATCTCGTGAACTTCTCGAAAGGACCTCGTTATAAAACAACACCATAAAATCTCTCATCCAGCAGCCGATCAGCTACGAGGCATCCTCGTT